TATTTTTTTTTTTTTTTTTTTTTTTTTGTAAATTTACAACACTTTTGAAGTCTTTACAGTGACAGCTATAAGCGACAACCATAAAAAACAATTCGAAATGTGGTGATGATGTTGTTGTAGTACATATGTATTTAAGACATTCCTATCACATAATACCATTCTTGTCTTAACATGCTGTCTAATGTCAGACTACTGAAAGGGTAAGCCAGAGAGTAGAATGAAAAGTTGTGACGGCATGCACTATGCTATAGATCTAACTGTTGTCTCTTCTTCTTTTCACACTCCTGTTTTTAATGTTTCTAAAAGCTCAGTGCCCATTTCAGTTCAGTTCCTGGCTTCCGTCTCTCCCTCTTTCCCAACTCTAGAGAAAACATCTTTTCTAACAGCTGCAGCATTTATTCTCTCCCTTCCTCCCTCCCTCCTTCCCTCCCTGTTCTTCCTTCTCTCTCTTGCACAAAGTGATAAACATGTTATTGTGCCCTCTACGGCTTGAGCCAGATGGATTCTCCCCCATTTCACTTTGGTTGTTGTCATTGCTATTATTCTCCAAATGTCCTTGAGTCTGAAGTCACTCATACCTTTCATCTGGTCTCTCATTCCCTCGTCCAAACCTCTCTGACCTCCCATGGTGCCCCAGACGTGAGAAAACTGCAAGAATTTGAGCTGCCCTACGTGTCCATCACCAGCCTGCATAGCCCTGACTACCGCATCGTCCTCCGTAAAAGGTACAAAACTTATTTTGGGAGTAATGGTTAAACATTTGGTCCAACAGCAAAGTATATACAGGTATAATAAGAATATATATTTATGTAGCTTAGAGAGGAAGTTCTTATAAAATGTGTTAACTGTCCTTAGAATGCTTCTAAATCTATAACAAAAACACTTTTTAAAGGGACAGATCACCAAAAAAAATTTAATTATGTCATCATTTAGTTTTCTTTCTGTGGAACGTTAAAGATATTTTGGAGAACATATGAGAATTCTAAGCCTCAAAAAGGATGCAAAAGCACCATAAAAATATACTTTAAAGTCTATGGCAGGGGTGTCAAACTCAATTCCTGGAGGGCCGGAGCCCTGCAGAGTTTAGATTCAACCCTAATTAAACACACCTGATCCAACTTATCAAGTCCTTCAGGCTTATTTGAAAACTACATGTGGGTTGGAACAAAACTCTGCAGGGCTCCGGCCCTCCAGGAATTTAGTTTGACACCCCTGCCATAGACTTTAAAGTATATTTTTATGGTGCTTTTGCATCCTTTTTGAGGCTTAGAATTCTCATATGTTCTCCAAAATATCTTTAACGTTCCACAGAAAGAAAACTAAATGATGACATAATTAAAATTTTTTTGGTGATCTGTCCCTTTAAAAAGTGTTTTTGTTATAGATTTAGAAGCATTCTAAGGACAGTTAACACATTTTATAAGAACTTCCTCTCTAAGCTACATAAATATATATTCTTATTATACCTGTATATACTTTGCTGTTGGACCAAATGTTTAACCATTACTCCCAAAATAAGTTTTGTACCTTTTACGGAGGACGATGCGGTAGTCAGGGCTATGCAGGCTGGTGATGGACACGTAGGGCAGCTCAAATTCTTGCAGTTTTCTCACGTCTGGGGCACCATGGGAGGTCAGAGAGGTTTGGACGAGGGAATGAGAGACCAGATGAAAGGTATGAGTGACTTCAGACTCAAGGACATTTGGAGAATAATAGCAATGACAACAACCAAAGTGAAATGGGGGAGAATCCATCTGGCTCAAGCCGTAGAGGGCACAATAACATGTTTATCACTTTGTGCAAGAGAGAGGAGGAGGAACAGAGGGAGGGAAGAAGGGAGGAAGAGAGAGAAAAAATGCTGCAGCTGTTAGAAAAGACGTTTTCTCTAGAGTTGGGAAAGAGGGAGAGACGGAAGCCAGGAACTGAACTGAAATGGGCACTGAGCTTTTAGAAACATTAAAAACAGGAGTGTGAAAAGAAGAAGAGACAACAGTTAGATCTATAGCATAGTGCATGCCGTCACAACTTTTCATTCTACTCTCTGGCTTACCCTTTCAGTAGTCTGACATTAGACAGCATGTTAAGACAAGAATGGTATTATGTGATAGGAATGTCTTAAATACATATGTACTACAACAACATCATCACCACATTTCGAATTGTTTTTTATGGTTGTCGCTTATAGCTGTCACTGTAAAGACTTCAAAAGTGTTGTAAATTTACAAAAAAAAAAAAAAAAAAAAAAAAAAAAAAAAAAGTGTTGAAATTTTAAAAAAAAAAAAAAAAAAAAAGAATAATATATATATGACATTTACTTTTTATTTTCATTATTTTGTTTTATTATTAAATTATTATTGTCAACAATAAAGTAGGATTTTTCTGTTTTTAGCACAGCACAGACATGTTTTTTTGGCATAGATTTCTTGATCTTGGCTCCACTGCCAGTAAATCGAAAATCAGGTTTTGTTTGTAGGCTTTTTTTTTTCGCACTTTATTTTTTCTCCAATGCATATTTTTGCCAAGATTGGGCAGGACGCCAGATTCTTTTTTGTGAAGGATTCTTCTGGGGACTGTTTTTCATCATATCTGACCGTATTAAGCCTGTTTTAGGTGAGGATCTTGCAAATGAGTGAGAGGCACATAGCATGTCATTCCTCAAGGATGCGTGATGATTCTGAGCTAAAAGTAGTCAAACAATGGCAGCTCATATAATACAAAAGTAGACATGGAAAGTTCCACAAACAAAATGACAACATCCAGACAAGGAGAGCGACTGCCAGACATCTGCATAAAATCAGAAAAGAGATGCCCTTAAGTTTCAAGAATTGAAACCAAGTCTGTGAAGTCAAAAAAAAAAAAAAACAATTCCACTTCCAATAAGTCTACTGCTCTCCTAGGGGTTCATCCTTTGATAGATGTTCAATTCCATAACACGATGACGGCAGAATTGGAAACAAAACAAATGAGAAAAAAAAGCCTTTTTTTTATAGATTCATTTGCCCCGTGCACCAAACTAATAACATGCAGTGAAAGAATCTGGACTCAGGAAATACTTTTATTTTGTCCCTGGGGGGTGTTAATAGAAAAATTATACATGACATTCGAAAAGGCACTTGAAGCCAGAATATTAATAAATAGTATCTCAAGCAAACAACTCCTCACAGTGAGTGTATAATCGGTTTAATTTCAGATGGGGCAAGTAATATTTCTCTGCACAGGGCATTTCAGTCCATACGCAATCAATCAAACAATTAGAATACTGCTGTTGTTGCATTTACTCCTGCCAGCAATGTCTCAACAAACATTGTTTATAACAGAACAAGGAGAAAAGCATCTATTTCTAATGCACCATTGTTTCATGTTGTTTTTCAACCTCTAGGCAAATATAATGCAATTTCCTTCTCAGAGTTCTAACTTCTACTTTGTTGTTTTAACAAAGCCCATAAAGTTATTATGCATACTAATATATATATACATATATATATATTTTACTGGTTAGCTAGTAACATACGTTTATAAATTTATTTTCCTGTCCAAAACTCACTGTCATGATGCTAGGGTGTTTTTGGATGGTTGACAGTGGGTTGCTGTGCAGTTGCTATGATGTTCTGAGTGTTTTAGTATGTTGCTATGCAGTTTCTGGGTACTTTCTTATTGACCCAAGTCAAAAAAGGCCAACCCTCCAAAGTAACTGGTCCCTTGATAAGGCTCAGGCCTCTGTTTTCCAATGCCTTACTGCTTAGAATAGGGTTTCCCCAAATGTGGGTTTGCAATGTTTTCCAAAGTTTTCAGCATTTTATCATATTTGTAACAAAAGGAATTTATAAACCTGTTGTCAACTTAATTAACAGACATTATGTCACTATAGTAAAAGCTTGAGGTTTTAACGTTTGGCAGTAAAGAATTTAATACATAAATATTAGTAATCAAGTTGCAGTGTAAAATAAAATTAATTAGAATTATCTTTTTTATTTTGCAGTACAGGGTTATTATAGTAAACAAACTAAAATAAAAAAAAAAAGTCATAAAATAAACATTAACTGAATATATATATATATATATACTTAAACACTAAAATAACTAAAACTGAAATATAAATTAATAAAACTTATATTATAGACATACTTCAAAAATAAAAAATGAATATGGAAAATACAAAAATAACAAGAATTCTAAATATGAATTAAAACTATAACAGTGTCTCAATGATACTAAAATAACACTGTTACAGTACAACTACATTATAACAGTAGTTCCTTTTTTTATTTAGAGGTAACAACAACAACAACAAAACAATTTTATTATTATTATTATTAAAATTGACTGGGTTCCTAAAACACGTGATTTATCAAAATAAGAAAAATTAAAAACAGAAAATATTTACCTGCATGTCATGTGTCCATGACATCAGAGAAACATAAGGATGCATGTAAATTATTAACTTATAATCTCACGGTGCATGATTTGAGGCATCATCCATTTCTAAAGCTGAAAGAGTATGGGGCGGGTTACACACCACATTTAATACTTATGGTTTGGGTTTAGTTCAATCCCTAACCCAGTATGAGCAATAATAATAATAATGTTTGTCTAACATGGCCTACAGCAGAGCTGTGTGTGCCATGCCAACAACAGCTTGACCAAAGTTTCATCTACTTGACCTCAGTTTACTTTTGAGAAGAGTGGGTGGCCATCTCAACAGAACACAGACTTCTCTTTTGAGCTGCCAGGACTGCATTGACATTCAGTCCAGAGGAAGTATGTTGACTTTTAGATACCATTTACTAACAGCCAAACCACTAAAGCCAGCAGGTCACATCTTATGAATTAAAAATGTCAAATGTTATACTCACACGTGCAGCCCCCATCCTCCCTCTCCTGAACCAGGAAGAGGCTGAAATATCCCACCAGCTCATCAGGAAGGTCAAGCTTTGAGGCCACAGCCTGATGAAGACATTAAGCATCATTAATCTACACTGCACTCATTATTACCAACAAGAGTTTGTTTATTGTTCAACAAGAGATGACTGCAAACCAATTCACAAGATATGCACATGTATTCACAGGCAAAGCACACAAGTCATTAAACATAAGCTTGATAAATTATGTCTCTATGTGAATTAAGACAAGTAATTGTCCTTGCTACATTGCCATGCTTTTATTGGACAGATTTTCTCTTCAGAGAAAACGAACTTAGGTACATTTAACCCAATGATGATCTTACCGTCTTAACGTTTCCTCCTCCCTAATGAAGTGTTTTACACTTCATATTCCATTCTGTGTTTCCTTACTATATATGCTGTGCCATTTTTAAAAATACAAGCTTTTCTTTTTGTGCCCACACTTTTAAAAGTGCTTCGGAAGTTTTGTGTTTGAGGTGTTAAACATTACATCCAAGCAGATCCCATGATCAGATTACACTTCACTATGTTTATGCCGTTTTATGTGTAGCACTTGACTTTCTTGTTTTCATCAGGTGCTAAAGGGTACTTTGGGTCATCAGTGTGCTTGAATAACGCAGCAGAAAGCTGAATATGGGTGCAGGGTGCATTTTAATGAGAGCTTGGATCAGCCATGACTCTGTGTGGTGCACATGGGAAAGCTATGATCCACAAAGAGCTCCTTAAAGCCCTTAAAACCAAGGCTCAAATATGTGTTTGCTGATTGGAGAGCAGGTCTAAGTGAAGAGTCAGTGAAGAAACACATGATTTGTGTTCTTTTTTTTTAACACAGACTAAGTACAACACATATTGTATGAATTAATTTCATTTAAAAAGGAATAAAGTCTATATTAAAAGTGTGGTTGAATTTAAATAGTTAATCGTGATTAATATAAATTTTTAGACTTGTAGTTAATGTTCTATTTTGTCTTCTAAACGTTTCATACATGTATTTGATCAAATATACAGTAAAAAGAGTCATTTTCTGAAATATTATTACTTATAATAACTGCTTTCTATTTGAATATATTTTAAAATGTAATTTATTCCTATGACAAAGCTGAATTTTCATCACCATTACTCTGAAAACGGATTAATTTTTTTTTCAGAATGGCAGTAAATCCTTCAAAATTATAAATGTATTTATTGTCACACTTGATCAATAATAAAAATATTCACTTCAATTAAATATACATATAATATACATATATATATATATATATAAATATATATATAAATAAAACGTTTAAACTGTAGTGTATATAAAAAAGACACTGGACAAAGGCACATCTCATTTGCAAAAATACAAATTTGTAATTGAATAATGAAACAACTTTGGCCACACTTTTAATTTATAATTTTGTATTTACATTTAAAATTGAAAAACTAAATCTTGCTTTAAATGTATAATTTATACATTATATATATTTTTTAATTATTTAATATTCACACATATAAATTTTATTTATTTATTTTTTAATCAAATGTTATGTTTTCTTTACAAAGAAAATTTGCAATAATAGCTAGAAATCACATTCAAATTGTGGCAAAACAATACTGGTTTGGTTTGTATCATAAGACTACACCTATTGCTGAGCAATAAACAAATGTAACAGAGTTAGAACAGTGTTTAAAGGCCCTAACAAATATAAATCCTTGACTTGTAAAATCAAAGAAAAATGTGTATGTCCTGTTTTTATGTATTTCTGTATTTCTGGCCTTGACCATATGGATTAGTTTAGAATTAGACATATTCATGCTAGCTCACAATTACAATGAAAGGTGTCAGTAAACCACAGACATTACTATTCAAAATGACAAAGGCATAAACCTGGCAGTGATGATCGGCTTTGAGAACACGATGCAGATGTGTGCGTTGGAAACAGTAACAAAACAACATTCTCACCTCCAGAACATCTTCGGTCTGGTCAGATGTGAGGATGTTGACTTTGACCTTCTGGCCATTGGACAGGTAGATTTCCAGCTGCACCTCCTCAGTGGGGATCTGCTGGGTCTCCTACAGCATAGACAAACAGTGATGCTCTTTAAAAGGGTTTGGGAAAACACCTTCATGCTGAACTCTAATTCAACTTCCTATGCTTCCTGTCAGATTCAGCTGATCTCAGAATATTCTGATGAACATGCAGTACTGATAACATTAAATCACACCCTTTCACTCACTCTAAGAGCACAGAACAGAAAAAAAACAGTCAGAGCAGTTTCATTTCCTGTGTATTCCAGCTTTCACGTCAGAGGACGCTTTCATTTTAGAACAAATGTAATGTTTTGAGTTGTGTGATTTACTGTATAGATTCAGGCTTAATCGCAAGATATACATGCCTAGAGAAGAGAAGTGATTTGGTGTCTTTTGCAGCTTGTTGTACATAACGTGGTGTAGTCATGAGGTGCTGCTAGTACACATTTAAAAAATGCTTCGACAAAAAAGTTTAATCTGCAGATATGATCTTGTTTAGGGATCTGTGCCTTTGTGCATACGGACATCTGACTGCTAAGTAGTGGTTGTGTTTTTCAGCAATAGTGTGCACCCTTAATTTACAGAGAAAAGAAGGTCCAGGAAAAATCTGTAGATGGAAAAATCTCCATACAAGTTCTTTGTGCATTTTTCTTTTTTTCTATTTGTTACTTTGCACTTTTTGTTAGAAAATGTTTATTTACTATTTATTCAGGTTTTTTAAGGTATCTAATATTTTGATACTTAATTCCCATGATTTAAATATTCTTAAAAATTAAAAGTTTGTTGTCATTTGGAAGTGTGTAGGCCTTCTTGCATTATTATGCTGTTACATTATGATTATATATTCAGTGGCATAAAATGATCTTTAAAATGACAATAATATCGCTTATCGCAATTATTTCAATATATCGCATAACAAAAAGTTGTTATCGTGACAGGCCTATTGGTAATAGGTCAAAACAAGAGTCAAAACACCACATTGCTGACTGTTTTATGGATAAAAAGTAGCGTCACTGTTCTTTCACTGTCCTATCTTCTGCTTTTTGCAAATTCATCTTTCCCCCCCACCCCTCTTCCTGCATGTTTCATCTCCCACTGAGGCAGAGGGTCTCAGAGCAGCAGCTGATCTTTACAGAGATTGGAAAATGAAAACGCAAGGCCAAGTCTAATCTCCTATTCTGTTCCTGCAGACTGCTCTCTGATGGGCAGCAGGGGGGACGGACGGGATCTGACTGCAAAATTGCCAATATCTATGTGGGGTGGGGAATGAAATTCCCGAAGAATGAATGCAATCTATGTGATTCAGACAACAAATGTAGTACAAGATGGTACTGGAATGTAAGGAAGTGAACAGAGAGGCACATTAACCAGTTCTTCACTCAATGCGCATGAGTGAACTATATATCTTAAAGGGGTCATATGACGTTGCTAAAAAAAACATTCTTTTGTGTATTTGGTGTAATGAAATGTGTTTATGCGGTTTAAGGTTCAAAAAACACATTATTTTCCACATACTGTACATTATTGTTTCTCCTCTATGCCCCGCCTTTCTGAAACGTGTTGATTTTTACAAAGCTCATCGGTCTGAAAAGCGAGGTGTGCTCTGATTGGCCAGCTATCTAGTGCGTTGTGATTGGCCGAATACCTCAAGCATGTGACGGAAATGTTACGCCCCTTACCATACTGTGATGCCATGTCCCAGAGCGACAAGACAAAACCGATAAAACCCATTACAAACAAGGAATTTGTTGCATCCAGTGGGGACATAATTACGGCTTATAATGTCTTATACGGTCTTTTTACGCGTTGCGTTGCAT